CTATATTTATGCATGACAATGCCCGACCTCATACAGGTAGGATTGTAAATGACTACCTTCAAGAGATGAACATTACTTGTATGGAGTGGCCAGCGCGCAGCCCGGATATCAACCCGATCGAGCATGCTTGGGACGAGCTAGGGAGATGCGTAAAACAACGAAACCCTCCCCCAATCACGCTTCGTGAGCTCAAAATTGCTCTCACAGAGGAATGGGAGAATATTCCCCAAAATCGTATAAGGAACTTGGTGTACAGCATGCCAAACCCAAAGCCAAAGCAAAGCCTAAACGCAGTAATGGAAGCACGAGGAGGCAATACGAAGTATTAAAATTCAAGAAAATCGTAATAATGTTCAAAAATTTCATGTTTCCTATTTTTGTTTTAAGGAGAGATCAGCAGTTTTTTTCTTTATGTAATTTTGTGTAAATAAAATGTATGGTGACTCATATTTTTTTTGCTTTCATTTAAGGAGTATTAAATTGTCTATTAAATACAATTTATTGCATTAACCTAGCATTCTTACTTTCCGAGATTTTTTGGATTCTTTGACCCGGATTCATTGCTCTCGAGTGTATTTGTAGTTAGCATTTTAATTAGTTAAATTATACCTCTTTCAGATACTATATTACTTTAATAATATATTTGAACAAGAAGTTTATAAGTTTTTATTTAACAGTAAAAACGCTAAGGCTAAAGCTACGATATGTCACCATATCTGTGCTGTTCGCATTTGTTTATTAACTCCTGACACAAAAAGAGGGGAGTTATAAGCCTTTGTTTATATATCTGCTGTCCGTATGCCTGTGTGTGACATCGTAGATCCCAAACGGCTGCATAAAATCGCGCGCGTGTGTAAAGGTAGACGAGTAGCGACTGCATCGCTACTGCATCGCGTTTGCATCGCTGCTAAAAGTCGCCGTGTGTAACCGCACTTAAATCGTGCGGAACCTACAATCTCGCAATTGACATTCGTATTAATAGCCAGTGGAAAAGCACCATAATACGTCTCTTCAGCTTGAATATCAAAACAATATTTACTTTTAGTATGGATTTCTTCTCCAATGTAAAATAGAGCATTATCTTCCAATGACGTAGAGCCTCTTCAAAAAAGTATATTTATCAATATTTTGTATCTGATCACGTAGTCAGTATCAGTTAAAACATGAGTGGGCCACTGTTACTTATTTAACTTGCAGATTTCACAAGATTGATAGATAGAGAGATAGAGCCTGACATTGCATTCAGTATATCGTATTAAGAAAGTTTTCTTAGTGCTCGACGGGAACTACGTAATCTTAAATTGCTCCTGTAAAAGTTGCAGGCGCTGCTTCTAGCTTCTGCTGCTAGCCCATATAGCGTCCGGTGCAATTAACATCCTGGCGCCTTCTAGTAGGCACGCGATCAAAATGGAATACTTTACAGCCCCATATCTTTCTACATTAGTTTTGATTATAATGACCGTCCCTACCGACCCTTAGGTTATACGAGAAGGGCACTAAGATCTGCACAGGAACCATCTAAGCCGGGTCCTAATCCCAGATCAGCCCGTTTACAGGAATTTCATCCGGTTCTCTGTAATGCTAGGTTAGGTGAGTACGTACAGGACCCTCTCTATTTTCCAGATAGGTATCGGAGCTGTAGGCACGCTCACTTCCCATTGCTTACTGCGGTTGCCACCGCTAAGCCTTCGAATCTAAGTTGACTACCAAATCTCCTCTTTGGTGGCGGAGCTGTACGGCACGCTGACTTCCCGACGCCGAATGAACGGCATCTCTCCAGTTCCCAATAACCTTAGCGGCTGGAGGGACCGGAGAATATCTAACTTATCCACTACTAGCTCTCCGGGCAAGTGCCGGAAATGTCTGGACACAGCTTCCCACTTAAAGGGCTACTCACGTGCCCCGCGCGTCTCCTCGCTTCAGGCCCTCAACTACTAACAACTGCGCACGAGACAGACGCCCCGGCCACATGATACCGGGGCAGACAAACATGTCCATCTCTGCAGCTCACGACAAACCCCAGCGTGTACATACCTACATGTCCAAGTCCGGGTCCACCAGAGACGTCCGTCAAGGCGTCTCACTGGCGGAAGGCTTGGCCCGGACGCCCGCTGTACTCTGGTCTTGCCGTCGAGCCCGTAGTCTCTCCGGTATACCCCTATCTCTCGCATCGGTACGTAGGGACTGGAATACTTAACAGCTATATTGTCCTCAGTGATCGAAAATTCGGGTGCAAATTGTGCAATTGTTATTGGGAAGCAATTGCCCATTTACTTTGCTTGCGCCGCGAACTTACGCTTCTTTTAAGATTTCCATTGTTATTCAAAATTTGTCATTTACAAAGTTTAAAACTATATTGAAACGATAACTTTATATTATAGGTTAACAACTTCTGCGTATTTGGATGACAAAAATCCGTGGTAGTGACCCGTTTAGCTCCTTCAGGTATTCTTAATCTAAGATGTTTAAATTAAATTAAATAATAATAAATGTATTCAAATGTACATTTACAAAGAGCAACCGCTAGAGTTTCTTGGTCATTCTTCTTAGGGGAATCTGCCTTACGAATGAGCTAGAGTTTAATCAGTATGACCTATGAAATAAAAATTATTTGACTTTGATTTTACTTGGGTATTTCCAGGATCGGTGGCAGCCCAGAGAGGTCGACGATTCGAATCCATGTGACGGCGTATACCTGTGACTTTCATTTCCAATTTACGTACATTTGTGAATGCTTAGTAGAAATAAATACAACTTTTTTATTTAAAAAATCAACCTCAAAAGTTCGTGGTGTTACATCTATTTGCCAAGTTTTATTGAAATTGGTTACCGCAAAGTGCGCGAAACTGAATTCATCCCCTAGTTTGCTATCCCTAGAGGTGGAATATTTTCTTCAAATTTAAATGGGACCAATGCTGAGGTACCCTATTTCCAACAAAAAAAATCATCAAAATCGGTTGACAAAGTCATCGCGTAACATACCTACATACAAAAAAATACAGTCGAATTTAGAAAAAGGAAAAGTTCTCCATTTTTTGAAGACGGTTAATAAGCCACGCTAAAATTAAATAATTAAATTTTTTTTTATGACGCCGCAAATTACTGGCGGTAGAAATAGGTAACTAGGTACTTCTCTGGAATTTTCCGGGAAAGTTTTTTTCCAATAAAATAACGTTCTGGTCTATTTACAAGTCCTTATGGTTAGTCAATGGATCGCCATTGTCTAACCATAAGCACTATACCGATAGGGACCGGTAAAGAGTTCGAAAAGGTTGGTTTGAAAAAATCTGAAAATAATATTGTTTCATTTCCAAGGCTCACTGAATTTGACGAACGTGTGAAGTAATAAGTTGATAATGATGTAAAGTGGCAGAATGAATACTAGTGATGTATTATTGCATAAAATATACAATTGCTTTATGTTTAAGCCTATAAATTGTTTATACAAAGGAATAGGTACATTAAAAGCTTAAATATTAGGACTAAGGCTAGATTAATGAAGGAAATTGGGTCAGTGTGGCGGGGTGCCAAAATAACTGGCAGTGTCCTCCTTTCTAAGGCTATGTTAATACCTTCGGCACGGTGGCAAACAAGGATTCGCCCTTGTTTAAGCTTACAACATTACTTATTACTGCTTTTTAAGTTGTTAACCGACTTCAAAAAAGGAGGAGGTTCTCAATTAGACTGCATGGTTTTTTTGTATCGTAAGCGATAACTCCGGTATTTGTGAATTGATTTTGATGACTCTTTTCTTTTTTTTTGTTGGAAAGTACACCTTCTTTAGTAGAGAGTTCCTCTCTCTCTTCCATAGTGGTCACATTTAATTTTGAAGAAAATCATCCACCTCTAAAGGTGGCTGGTAACGCATGAAGATTCTTTTTTTAAAAATAGCGCCTAAATTTTATTATAAGGAGCAATTATTTTAATGGTTGATTTTGCTATTCTCCAATTCTAGGCGTTTTTCTCTCTCAATATACTTTGAGTAGTGAGAACTAATTTTTATTATCTCCTGTGTCAAGTTGCGTATTGTGGCGAACTAGGGGATGAATCCGGGTTTGCACACTTTCCGGTAACCGATTCCAATAAAACTTGACAAATAGATGTTATTCCACGTACTTTTGAGGTCGATTTTTTTAGTACTCTATACTAATATTACAATGCGCTCAGAAAAAAATATTGCTCTTAACAAAAAATAATCGAAATTGACATATCAATTTAATAACTATAAAATACGGCTGTGATATAAATAGTAACAAAGTATATTGGTATAAACACGCAAATTTTATTGCACGTGCAATAAATTTTTAATAAAAATAACTATACTCATTATTATTTTATTGCAATATTTGAATCATTCTAATAAATGTATTAACGTACTATATGGCTATAACCCCTTTACGATATAATCTTGAAATATATACCATATTCCAAAATATCACATTACAATGATAAATTGTTCTGTGATAAAAAGATCGTAAATTAAATTTGTTTATGGTAAGCATTCTCAATACGAGTCTACTACAATTTCGGTCTGCAAATCACCGTTGTAATGTACGTCCAAATAAATATTTCGATCGCAATTCGCATCGCAACCGTTAGCTGCAAATTATCAATCAAGAAAAGAGCATTCTTTTGCCGCCAAAAAAATTCACACAGTCTCAGTCGTTGACCGGGGAAACCGGTCCAACACGGGTTTTGTTCCTACTGTCCCTCCGACGTCGCAGCGAGACGGTTCTTTGTATTCTTATCACTATTAACTTGTTCACCTGATATTAAAGCACGACCGGCTTACCTGAGCGACAGTTGCCCTCCTACCGCGCTGCGCGACTAACCTATTCAACGTGCGTTCGAAATTCGAAAAAATTACGAACACCATAGTAAAAATGTAAAATTCTTTTCACGCAAAATTCCAAAAAAGAAATGTAAATAATTGTCCAGTGTATATAATTATAATTTTTATAATAAATTCTATAAATATAATTTTGTATGATAAAGTGTTGAGTGAGTGTAGTTTTCATTTCAATTTAAAATAAATGTAAAATCCTGTGATATTTGTTTTTAAGTAACTCAGTGAGCCGAAAACCGCAAGTGAGTATATTGTGATTTTATTTTTTTTTGTCTACTTTTACTATGCTATTTTTATTATTATTCTCATAGTTAACTGCTATTCGCTTCATTGATACTTATAGTTTTTTAATTATGTTATTAACTTGTAACTATTAGTTATTTTAAAATAATTTATAGGTATTTAGTACATTTTTGGAACTACTTATATTTAAAGAAAAGTGCGTTCTTAATTAACTTATTATTTTAAATGCCTTTATTATTTTAAAAATCGCCTTTAGCACGAACAACAATTAAAAATGTTGATGGAGATGTTTGCAAAGTTCGATTCAAAGTTTTAAATTGTATGTTGTAATATAAATAATTGATTTACGTTAACATAACTGAGCTCCGTTCATGAGTGTTCTTTGGAGATGATAAGACTACCTCTCGAGTGTGTGCTTTAAACTAACGATTTCATATACAGGGTCAAACTCTATCCCGTTAGCAATTTGAACGCGTCAATTAGTACAGAGTACTAAAAAACCGACCTCATAAGTCATTCATCCCCTAGTTTACCACCCTTTGAGGTAAAATATTTTCTTCAAATTTAAATGGGACCACTACTGAGGAGTTCAACACAAAATAATCATCACAATCGGTTCACAAATACCGGAGCAATCGCGAAACATAGATACAAAAAAAATACATACAGTCGAATTTAAAACCTCCTTTTTTCGAAGTCGGTTAAAAAGGTAGATTATACTTTTTGGAAAAACACAATCGCCCCTCAAGTTTTCATTACTACTTTACTATCAAGAAAATTTTTATTAGCTTAAGTTTTTATTTAAATAAAATAACAAATAATACTAGAAGTAAGTAGGCTGTCAAAATGGAAAACATTTTTTTTATTTCTTTTTTTAATCTTTTTATGTGTTTATTACCTCTTACTTGCGATTTTTTTATAAAGCCATGTTTTATAATTCTCCCTTCGCTTCTATTGTGCATATGTTAATTGAGAAATGTAGAATCTTATAATGACATAAATAATAGTAATTAGTTCATGAACTTTCCAAAAGTACAATAAATAAGTAAATATTTTCCAAGTAATTACATATTTTAAACAAAATATGAATTCAATTAGGTACAGCGACCCAAATTTGATACAATCCACCAAGCCGGACTGTCTTAAAAGAACAGGGTTAGATTTAATATCAATTTTGTACTTTTTACGATAAGAACGATACCTCCAATGAACAACTGCGATAACTTAATTTCTGCTCATTTTTAACCGACTTCAAAAAGGAGGAACTCGACTGTATTTTTTTTATTTGTATGTGTGTTACGTGATAACTCCGGCCATTGTGAATAGATTTTGCTGATTCTTTTTTTTTTGTTGAAAAGAGGGTACCTCGTTAGTGGTCAAATTAAAATTTAAAGAAAATATTCCACCTCTATGGGTGAAAAACTAGGGGATGAATCCGGTTTCGCGCATTTTCCGGTAACCGATCTGAATGAAACTTGGCAAATAGATGTAATTTCACGAACTTTTGAGGTCGGTATTCTTAGAGTACTACA